ACCAAGGAGGAGAGTGGTGAGCTTCTTACCTAGCTATGGTAGACACCATCTTCATCACCTTGCTAGGCGCTGCATCAGGAAGGCCCCAGTGGGGGTAGTGCCGCATCAAGGAAGCTCGGGACAGAGTCAGGCATGGCGGTTGAGTGGGCAGCCGCATAGCTGCATGGTGCTGACCTTGAAGTGGGGCAGCGACATAGCTGCTTTGGGTTGTCCTTTGGACAGGAGGGAGAACCCTCAGTGCTCTGCCATAGCCTCGGCCTGTATGTAGAGGAAGAGGAAGGGTGGCCGTGGCTATGGTGGACCTCATGTTGTGCTTGCAGTAGAAGTGGGATTCAGACATTGATTCTGGTTCAGTCATTCAACATTATTATTGTTATTTCTTGTTTGAATAAGAGGAGAGGAGATAAGGAGGAAGAGATTGGTCGGCGAAGAAGAAGAGCCTTGTCATTGGTCTATGCTGGAGTACATCATCTTCTTCTTCTTTCCTACTTTTCCTTCTTCTTCTATCCCTCTTCCTCCTCTCAAGTTCATTCATTTCTTCTTGCAATTGGATGGCATTGTACTTTCAGATGAATGTATACTTTGAAATTGGCCAGGATCGTAACATTGGTATCGGTATCAAACTATTAAACACTTCAAGAGCTTCGGTCGCGTAAAAAACAAGGAGATCATGATACTTGGTACATTGCATCGAATCCTCACGAATTCCACGAACCAGTCGGACACGGTGAACGTTATCAAATGGTTCTTTGTTGAAGCCCGACTGTTGGGCTACCCGACGTACATACTGAAGCGTGCAGTTTTGGCCATCAGAAGAAAAAGGATGAACAAAAAGACGGCCGCAAAGATCCTGCGTTGGTTGCAACTGCAGGCGTCGGCTGAAAAAGAAAAATAAGATAAAAATAAAAATAAAAATAAAAATAAAAATAGTAGAAATAATAATAAAAATGAACGAGTATGTTTTTTGCAAATCACGGTGCCTGATTTCGGGCAACGGGTATAATGGTTCCTTGATCGATTTCTCTGACATTAACGGATCAGCCGCTGAACTTAGAACAGTTAATAACCGACGACATCACTCCTTGAGCACAAGCACGAATTTAACCTTGACAGCAGACCACATTCAGGGACGGTGCTACAATTTTTACRATAAGTRTACTTGTGGGTAAACTAGGCCGCATACAGAACGCCACGGGAACCCCGGGTACTACGGGACGCTTTAGAACAGTTAATAACCGACGACATCACTTTTTTAGCACAAGSATGAATTTAACCTTGACAGCAGACCACATTCAGAGACTGTACTACAATTTTTATGATAAGTGTATTTGTCGGTAAACTAGGCCGCATACAGAACTCCACTATTACGGAAACCCGGGTACTACGGGACGCGTTTTATAAACCAACGGCAGCGGTTACAGAACTGCTCGACACAAATCTAGCTAGGACAAACAGACTACATTCTGATACTGCACTGATGTACCTACATGTGGACTGGTCTACATACATGACTCCAATGTTGAGATCTTGGGAATTACGATGATGTTGCGCTAAGATCGACGTCGATTATTGAAGTTCTCGCGAATGATCACGGGAAGGAGGAAGATGGCGGGTGACGAGACAGGGACTTGGAAGGTTTCTGAGTAGGCTATTTAAGTAGTTAGTCTGAGGAAATCTGCGCCTGAGTGGACGAGGCAGAAGGGCGTTGCGACATGCAGTCATGCATGTCGATATCCTTTGATTGTAGCACATTATGTCCTCCTCGAGAGTAAAGCCTCACATTTTGTGCTAAATGTTTGAATGACATTGGTATCGCAGCCCACCTTGAGCTTACGGGAGACTATACCCGTGTTGGTCGGTGGGTAAACCTCCTATTGATCCGTCGATAGGTTGAGTGTTGTTTGTTCTCGATGTTTGCAGGTACCGCTCACACTTGGATGCGTTTTCATGACGTTGGCCAGCTGGAGTGTTATTTCATTTCATCTTTCATCAGTGATTGGAGATTGGAGCGTGGTATTTTGGAATTTAATCCATCAATCTGCTTTGGTCGTCTATTGCAGTTAGCGGCGGAGTTCTCTTAGTTTCTGAAGCCCTCTGTCGCTTTTGAGCGCTGTGTGTTGTTTAGTACTGCCACGTGACGACTTATGTTGTGTTTCCGATGAGCTTTTGCTATACGTCGAATAGCCTGTGGTCTCTCCATTGTTCCAGGTCATCAATTTCAGATTACACTTTGGTCGGAGGCTCGGAGACGTCGCTACACTCGCCACGTTAGAGACGGCGAGTGCGGATGCACACATAACTCACGCAAGGCATTACGGTATGGCGGGACACGTGTAGTGTTACATACTCCAATGAGTATGGGCAGAACCAAGAATCAACCAATATAGGATGAGTTTTTATGCAGTGGAAGGCTTATAACGAACTGACTCACATAGACTGACTCACATAGACTGACTCACATAGACTGACCTACATGGCATCACTCCACACACATACAATCATGAGATGGTGGGGTCTGGGTCATTCATAGAAGATACCCAGATCCCGTACACACATGCACAGATGAAAGGTGGGAGGAGAGACGAAGG